AGGGGATCACATATTAATTATGCTCTTGTGAAACCTTTATCAAAATCAAGAAGCTGTTGTGCAAACAGAATGAGGAAACATGGTATAAAATGAAGAAGGATGTGCTTCCATACTTTTTCAGTATCTTTTTAATCTGTATGCTGTGCAAATTAATCAAATAGCTGGACTCTTAAGAGGAGGAGTGGAGAAAGATTCATCAACAACTTTCTTTTTTTTTTTTAGATTCATCAATAACTTTCACTAGCAGACTAAGTTACACCTAATCTAGATCATGGTCTTTTCAATCACTATGCTGTTGAGAGTTTGACAGTGAATAAGGACGACAGAAGAAAAATGGATGCCTTTGAACTGTGGTGTTGGAGAAGAGTATTGACTATCCAATGGACTGACAAAAAATCAAACAGATATGTCTCAGAGAACGTGCAGCCAGAGTGCTCCTTTGAGGCAAGGATGGCGAAGTTTCACCTCACATAATTTGGGCACTTTGCTTGTTGAGACTATTCCTTGGAGAAGGACATCATTCTTAGAAAGGTGGAGGGACAGTGAAGGAGAGTAAGACCCACAAACAGGTGGATTGACACAGAGCGATTGTAGCAGTGGGTTCGAGTGTGTCAGAGATTGTGACAGGTGGACAAGGATAGGATGAAGTTCAGCTCTGTTGTTTAGAGGGCCACTATGAGTGGTACTCGACTCCACGGCACCTGACAACAAGAAGAAGCACATAATGGTATAAGGTTGTTTACTGGCTTCTAGAAAGATAGGCATGGAACCATGTCCTGAGAGGAGTTCAGATACTTTAACTTCTTTCTAATCATTATTGACTAGTACTGGGTGCTTTTAATATAGCATCTACCTCCTTGCTTGTTCTATAAGTTTGTTTAAAGCCTAACACCTTGCCAAGTATACATACTTTGGAGTAACACATTCAGTTATTCTTAATTTGTAAATTTCATAAGAAACCATTTTACAGAGTCTCGTGTCAGATTTAAAGTGAGAATTTTGAGGACGAGAGCATGAACTATTTTCTTTTCCCCACAATATTCTCACTTCTGATCTTGCCAGTTACAAAGTTGAGGGTTTTCTACCATTCCTTAGACTGACAGCCATAAGCTCCTAGGGCCCAGGGTCTCAATCACATACAAGCTGCTGACTATTCACTAAGCAAGGAAACACATCCATCATTTGGGCTTTGGATTTGCTCCTTCAGGACAGCAGCTGTAAACGCAGATGATACCTTCTGATCTACTAGCTCCCATCACTGTTTTTTGGATCCCTAATTTTCTAGAAGGATTCACCAAACTCAGCACTTGTGCTTATAACTTTATTATAGCAACAAAGATACAAATGAAGAGACACCTAGTGTGAGGTCAGGAGTTGTTAGACTACTCAGAGTTTCCATCTTTCCAGGAAAGACATACCACTGTCTCATGTGCATTGATTTCTGCCACCAGTCATGACATTTCCAAGTGAAGAGCCTTCATTAGAGTTTCCTTATGTAGACACAATCACCTGAATCAGGACCCACTGCCTTGAAGTCAGCTAACAACACAAGGTGATCTTTGTAGCCTGGTTAGTCTCCCATTCAAGAGGGAACTTATTAGCATAAACATTCACATGTGAACTGACGCCCTCATCAAAGATACTTCAACCACTGGGGAAATTCCAAGGTTTTTTAACAAATTCTTACAGAAAGTAATTTATTATGCCACAGCAATGTTATTATTTCTCTTTTAAAATAACAAATTGAGGTTCTGGGTAGGAAAATATTTTGGACTAGCAGAGTCATTAAACTCAGAGCCAAGAAATGTTGGGTTGACCATTAAGCATCATAATCACTGTATCCTTAGCATCAAAGGATCAACAGCATTATAGTTTTCCTATTTCATGGGTGTATGTTGTTACATTAAGTAGATGTACTTAACTTCCCCCACATTATTGGGTATTCAGGGACTTAACATTTCCTTTTCTATCACAATTTTTTTTCATATTGCATTCATAAATATTTGATTTTCCCTCCTCCCTTATCGTTGTTGTTGTTGTTGTTGTTGTTAGACACTATGGAATTGAGTATGATCCACTGAGACCCTAGGAATAACAGATCTGAACCCTGTACTATTCCGTGCCATCCTTAAACTTTCTGACACACTCGAATCCATTACAGCAATCTATTTCAGTACATATGGTTGAGGGTCTTGCTCTTTTTAGCTGACCTTCCAAGTATGATGTCTCACTCCAAGGAATAACCTCTCCTAGCAAGACGCCAGAGTACGTGAGATGAAGCTTCGTTATCTTTGCCTCCAGGAGCACGCTGGCTATACTTTCTCACACTGTACTTCAGGATAGAAAGTGAAATTGTCTTTTTAACTATTAATGTAACACCATTCTTCTACTGGTTTTCATTCCTAGCATAGTATACCATGTGATTGTCTGTTTCAAATTAGTCAAAGTTAGTCCATCTTATCTCATTGATGTCTAGAATGACACTGTACATGTATTTAATTTCATTTTTCACAACTTCCAGTTTCCAACATTCATACTTCATATATTCCATGCTCCAATTATTAAAGGATGTTTGTCACTACTTCTCATTTTGATGATTTCTAATCTGGGCTCTACCTTTAAAACTATGAGTGTTCCTCTACTGTTCATAGGAGATTCAGAAGTCTACTATTTAAGATGTAGAAATACTGTTTGGCTTGGTGCAGCACCTCCCTTATGTTAGGATCCCTTAATTTTTCACAATTTCAGTTCCAAATGTCTTCAAGGATTTGAAAAATCATATTTACTAGATGCCATTATATTTTTTTAATCATCTTAAACTCTCATGACTTTTATCTTTGAGCCCAATAGCCTCTGCAGCTTTAGTAAAAACTCCAAAGTCAGAAGAGAATATGGAGACCTGACATATAGAGATGTAGCAGCACAAAGCTTGTCATACTTTCCAAGACAGAATCTTAACGAGCTTTCTCTCAACAAAGGAGGAGACCGGGATAGAGGGAGAGAAAGATTTGCCTCCAGGACAGGAAGATTCCAGGAAGGAAGGCCAAAATGATAAAATGAGAACACCACGCACACATAGCATTTGTGTGTACCCACCCCACTGCATCTGTGGCACCAAGAACAATGTCTGTGGAAAGGAGGTATCAAAAAATACTTATTGAGGGGATAAGAGATGGGGAAAGCTCTAAGGGTCTTTTTCGTCTCCTAATGCCAAGTAGGTCCTTAGGATGGGGGGAATCCAGACACATTACACTGCTTAATTTAAGGTCATTATCTATCTGGTTGTGAATAGAACTATGAAAGTGGAAGCTGTGTGACAGAAAAACTACCGCAAACATTTCTTTTCCAATATTAAAGCTCAGAGAAACAAACAATGTGGATGACTGATATGTAAAAGAATTTGAATGTATGGCATTTGGAACTTAGTCATTTTTTCTTCTCTCATTTCCTATTTGCCAGGTTCAGTACATGTCTCAAATGCAAAGGGAAAGCACACAAAAGTACCTATAAGCTTATATCAATTCCTGCAGTAGATAATCCCTCAGAGAATGAGATGGCCTTCATGTTCTGGAATTTTAGCCAAGTAATGCAGCTCAGAGGCCTAAAAACTTCCATGAGTCCTATCAAATATCCAGCTCTCAGAAGCCAACTCCTTATTAGTATCTTTCCTCATGGTTGTAAGGCTCTATAGACAAAGCAAATAATACTAATGACTCTTGTGGTTAGGTGGCTTCGAGTTGAAAACAGCTCATTGTGGCCCTATGAACAAAAGATCTGAACCCTGTTCTCTACTGCACTATCCTCACACTTCCTGACACACAAGAGCCCATTGCAGCAATCACCACGTCAATCCACCTGGTTGAAGGTCTTCATCTCTTTCCTGACCATCCATCCTTCCCAGCATCATGTCCTATTCCAAGGAATAGCACCTCCAAGTAATATGTCCAAAGTATATTAGGCAAAGCCTCATCATTCTTGCCTTTCAAAGAGCACTCCAGCTTCACCCTCGCCAGGACATATCTATTCATTTTCTTGGCCATCCATGGGATGTTCAGTGCTCTTCTCCAACACCACAGCTCAAAGGTATCAATTCTTTTTCTGTCATCCTTAATTCATTGTCCAGGTCTCGGGTGCATAGTTAATAATTGGAAAGATCATGGCCTGAATCAGACGCAAACTGACATTACTGCTCCTCAATATTTTGGAAAAGTCCATATCTGCAGATTTTCCCATTGCAATGTGTCTCCTTATTTCCTGACTGCTTGTACCAAAGGTATAATTGTGGATCCAAGCAAGGTGAAGCTGTTGAAGATCATTCAAAAATGGCTGGAACAATACATAGAGAACTGCAAGAAGTTCAAGTGGGATTTAGAAGAGGCCGTGGCATCAGGGATATCATTGCTGATGTCAGATGGATCTTGGATAAAAGTAAGGAATACCAGAAGAATTTTTATTTGTGCTTTATTGACTATGCAAGGGCATTTGATTGTATGTGGATTATGAAAAGTTGTGGCTGACATTGAGAAGAATGAGAATTCCAGAGTACTTGATTGTGCTCATGAGGAACCTATACTTACCTAGACCAGGAGGCTGTTGTGCGAACAGAGCAGGGGAGCACCACATGGTTTGGAAGTGGGAAGGGAGTTCCTTAGTGAAGTATTCTGTGTCAATACCTGTTCAATCTATATGCTGAGCAAATTATCTGAAAAGCTGTTCTCTATGAAGAGGAATGTGGCTTCAGGATTGAAGAGAGACTCATGAATAACCTGTGTTATGCAGATGACACAACCTTACTTACTGAAAGTGAGGAGGATTTGAAGCACTTGTTGCAGAAGATCAAGGAATGTAGCCTTCAGTATGGCCTGTGTCTCAATATCAAGAAAACAAAGATTCTTACCCCTGGACCAATAGGCAGTGTCATGATGGATGGAGATGCTAAGGATTAGAACAACAAAAAAGAAATTTTCAACCAGTTTTTATCAATCACATCTAAGCCTTACCTAAATAGGAAGCAAGAGGTTCATTCCTTTTGGTAGCCTCCACATTAAAGGTTATGTTTTGGGGGATGACAATTTGATTAGCCTTCTGCATGACGACGGTCCCGTTCCAGTCATAGGCTCCTACTGCTCCAAGCATGACCCAATCCTTACATTCAAACAGAGAAAACAAGCATTTTAATACAGATAGGAAAAGCGAGCACTTTCATACCATTGACTATGTACTAAATACCCCTCAAAAGATTTTTTATTGAGATTTTAATGAAAAATTACAGAGAATTTGGATTTCCATTCATTCATTGTTGCACATTTTCCTCCCTGCCCACTCCTCCGCTCCCAGTTCCCTTTTCTCTTTGAGAAGAGAAAAAGAAAAAATTAATTGTTATACAATCCTCCAACTCCCATCCACATCACTATGAAGCTCTTATCCTGGACTCTTGCCATGCAAATAATACCTAATCATATATCCCTTTTAAACAGTTCTCTCTCTCTCATCTTTTTCAATTTATGCCCTCTGTTCTTAGTTTCTCCTCAAACCTGATGTCAGTCCTGTTTTATTAAAAGTTGGGGTGTTTTTCTTTTTGTTTGGTGTTTTTTTTGTGTTTTTTTTTTATGCACCATAATGACCATAATGCTTACAATAATTGTGTGGGCCAGATCCCATCTCCATCAAACTCATTGTAGCAGAGATTTCAGAAATGCTCCAGGTTATATAGCTACTGGTACAATTACATAAAATGAAATGCCAACACTCTTTTACAGACAACATGATGCCTTTTCTTTACTGCTTATTGCCGTTAGTTGCCATGGAGTCAGCTCTGACACTCGGTGACCCCTTGAGTTCTGTGTAGAGCTATTCCATTGGGTTTTCAAGGCTATGACCTTTCAGAAGATCACAGGACTGTCTTCTGAGGTGCTTTTCGGTAGGGTTAAATCTCCAGCTTTTTGGCTAAGAATGTAAAACTCAAAATTTTGCACCACCTAGCCTGTCTTATTAGCTATATGATACATTTTTCTAATCTTGCCCTCTGGCTTTATTCTGGGTGCCAAGAAAACGAGATTCTATATATCCAGAGTGTGAATTTTAGCATGATTCTTGACTGCACTCTTACTATGGTAATGATTAATTCCATAGCTTAGCAAATATTTAACTTAAATATTTCATTCAGTCAGATGCAATGATTTGCATTCCAATTATCTAATTCACAGTAACAGTAAAATGTGGGGAACTGCGTGAAAAACATATTCCTAAAAGGATATGCTGTTTTCCTGTTTGGATTAGAAAACACCATCAGGGGCTGAATAACTGTTCTAGCTACGAAGGAGGTAGGAAACGTTAGCAAAAGTTACTGTTTCATCTGAAGTGTCCTCAACATACCTGTGAGTAATGAGCACTGAAGCCAGTCTGAGACATTTCCATTTCGAATGAAGCTGTTGATTGATCAACAGTAGCTGTAAAATAGGAAAACAATGACCATAAGCAATAAGCAAAGCTCTGTAGACTTCCAGCAGACAGACTTAGTACAGTGGGTGGTCTTTAAACATTAGAACTTCCAACACTTCCACGGTCCACATTTCTCAATCCAAATCCCTATGCAGGGCTGAGTATAAATCAGAGAAGGTTAATGGAGGAGCTGTGGCATCTGTGAAGATTGTGTCTCAATATGGCTTTTCTAGTGTAGATGACTATTGGAGGGACAGGACTGTGTGAATGAGGCGTGTTTTTCTATTCACAAAGGGATTGACTATTTACCATCCCACAAGGAGATTGGCTGGTTTCAACAATCTACATACAAGAGAATTGACTGGTCTCACCAATAAATTGAACAGCTCTAGCTTCAGAGAATAGAAATTCTTCCCCTGCTAGAAAGAATTATTTCTGCACCAGAAGAGATTCTTTGCCTTGCCAGAGAAGAGCGATGTCCCCCAACTGTTAGGAATGGCAGCAGTAGTGACAAATGAACTGGAGAACTGGATGTGAGATGGGACTTTGGGGTGGGGGAAGCCTGGGTTGGCAATCTGGGAGCATGTAGAGCCTTGAGGCTCAAGACTGAGGTGAGTGACTGCATGCATATTTTGGGAGCTGTCTTGACTATATTTTGTTGTTAATCTGAATTATAACCTTTCAACTTGCCTATTATGGTTCTATGTGGTCTGTGAGTTATCACACTGGAATTTGGACTCAGCTATGCAGAAAGTTGATGTTGAGATGAGTATAAAGTCATGGAACTTGTGGGGAGCATGTCTGACCTCATAGGAATTAGTTTTGTGTTATTGATGCTGTAGGTGGGGATAATTTCCACCTGTGAAGTTGGTAAAGGTCAGATATGGTGCAACCATGCAGTCCTTGTTCTTTTTACAGCATCTGTCTTCACCTCTCTCAGGATCTTGCTTGTTCTTTTGCCCACATTTGCTGCAGGAGCTGATAATCTTCATTCCTTGTTCGGTTGTTTTTATATCAACTCATATATTTTTCAAGTCTACAGTGCTTTGGATTCACAGTTGCAATGTTAAAGCAAACCTCTACTCCATCCCTTGGAATTATGATGAGACCTGAGGTTAAATTCATCTGAGATGTTCCAAATTTGAAAAAAAAAAACCCTCATTCACAACTTGAAGGAGGTTTCTGTTTACCCAACACTAATCAGATTATAAACCTAGAATCTTCTTAGAATTCCACTGTCTAACAAAGTGAATGGTTCAGGTTGTATTCCTATAACTGTGGGTTTATTTAGTTCAAAGGCAACTTTATGACAGGAGTCTGGGGCACATGTCACTAAACAAAATTTTTAATACTTTTATAGTAATTTTAAATTCATCACTGAAATGTGGAAATAATCCAAAGCCTTCTATGGATGTATAATATCCAAAAATTATTTTCAAAATATTCAAAGTCCAAGGGCAAAGGCCCATCAGGGGATTGAAGGAATGTTGACCTATTTGATTCCAGCAGGGCGTAACTGATTTATTTGGCTTTGTGGATAAGTTAAAAATAGTGTATCTTTTTAAGAACGTTTAGTCTGTCTTTTCGTTGAGGCATGGGAATAATCAAATTGGTGAAACCACACTATTTACTAGCTTCCTGGGTGGCACAAAGGATTTGCCCTTTGGTGCTAATCAAACGGTTGGCAGATTGAACTGAGCCAGAGTGATGTTCTACTCTGAAACATGCAGGGTGGCCATGAGTCAGGATCAACTTGAACACAATGTGTTTTATTTCTGAAATTTGACTATTCACAGATTATTTACTGGAATAAATGTGTGGACAAATCAGTACTTACTTTAATAGAAAATTATATTAATGAGACAATCAATCAAGTATAACAGTTATGATGGTTTAAGCAGTGTTCCCACTTTTCTTTGCAAGATCAGTAATAAGCATGCAGCAGCAAAATTTACCTACAATCTACAAAAACCACTTCTTCTATTGGGAGGGGAGCTATGTGCATCCAGCATATTTCCCTCCTCCTGTTTTATTTTCTCTGGAGAACAGAGAGGGAGAATCTGTGTGATATGTGTCCTCCCAAATCAGTGTCATGACCATTTGATTGTTGTTCAGTGCCATCAAGTTGACTTGGGCTCACAGCAACCTTGTATACAACAGAATGAAATCCTGCCTGATGCTGCACCATCTTCATAGTCTCTGCTATGCTTAAGGCCACTGCTGCAGCCATTGTGCCACTCCATCTCACAGAGGGGCTTTCTCTGACACTCCGCTTTACCAAACATGATGTTCCTATAGGATATCCTTGAGCTGTCAACTCCTACCTGGACTTTTCATGGCTAACGAGACAATCGCTCGCTTCACTGTGCAGCCTTTGGTTAGAAAATTGAGCATCACAGCCAACGCCTGGTGGTTAAGGGAGATATCAACCTATTTTCTGCTTCTATTAAGTAAATCCAAGCACAGTTCTTTCACTAGAGGACACTGTCCTTGGTAAGCCAAACTATTAAAAAATAAGCAAAGCCACTGCTGTCTAGTTAGGTCCAACTTAGGAAGATTTCATGTATTGTAGTTCCATAGGCTGTTCTTGGTTGCAAACTTCACGTCTTAGTTGCTAACCAAATAGTTGGAGGTTGTAGCTACTCAGAAGTGCCTTGTAAGAAAGAATTGGTAATTTATTAAAGAAGGGGGAAAAAGTCAGCCACTGAAGATTCTATAAAGAAGTTTTACCCTGACACACACGGGGTTGACATGAGTCAGAATCCACACTAGGCAATTGCTCTCCAACCTGTGAGGAAATCTACTAATGAGAAAGAGAGTGTTTCTAAAAAATAAGTAAGGAATTTAAGCCAATTGTGTCTATGAAGAAGAAAATCAGAAATTATTAGCAAAAAGATTTTTGTCTTGATTGTTACTTGCTGTCTAGTTGAAACCTTAGCTGACCCTCCGGAGGCAATAAATCGCACAGGAGTTGATTGTCCATTTTTTTCCTGTGTAGCAGCTGGTGGATTCAAACTGTGTGCCTTTGGGTTGGCAGTACAAGTTCTTACCCGTAGGCTACCAGAGTCTTTTTCTTGGTTACCCTCGAAGTTACAGCAATAAAAACACAGGAGCCATTTAAAAAAAAATTTTTTTTTCAGTGGTCTTTAAAAACAGAGACTTCTTGGAATGTCTGGGTACTCAGTACCAGACCTTTCAGAGAAGTAGAACCTTTCAGGGATGGTTTGGCTGGGCTTCAGATCATGTGAAAATGTTATTTCCATGACATCTTTTCTTTCAGTCTTAGGCTATATTTACTTGCCCACTTGTGAGTTAGACATAACACTGTACTGAATCTATCTGACATAATTATGTATTTTCTCTTTTGTTCAATGATCTTTACAGATTATGTCTTATTTTGGTCTGTGTTACCAAATAATTAAATAAGAGATTTCCAGGGAGCTCTGGTGGCCTAGTTGTAAGGTGCTGTGATGCCAACCCTGAAGCATGTGGTTCGAATCCACCACTGCTTCTCCCGTGCAATCTATAGCATTGAAAACAAGCTGACAGCTCAGATATGTGTTGGTTCTGATTCCACATCAATGAACCAAGTTTGAGTTTTTAGTTTAACTAAAAGAGAAAAAAAAGAATAGAAGAGATGAGAAACTATTAGACTAGCCTGTATATTCCAAACAACCTAAAACCAAATCCGTTACCATCAAGGTGATTCTGACAAATGGAAACTGCATGTGTTGTATAGTAGAATTAATCTGTAAGGTTTTCTTGATTCCAATATTAGAAGAAAGATTACCAAGTGCTGCTGAGTGAGTTGGAACCTCTACCCTTTAGGTTAACAACCAAGTGCAAACTGTTTGTGCCACTCAAGGAACACCATTGCACAAACTATGAGAGTCTATTATTGTGTTCCATCAAGTACGACCCTCCAGCAGGTTTTCAGAGGCAGTTAACCACGTGGGAAGAGATTTCCCATCCTTCTCCCATGAAAGTCTGGTGGATTTGAACTGCATGCCTTAAGGATTGCAGCAGAACAGCTTCTTGCCACTAGGCCACTAGAGCGACTCAATGAGAATCTAGAGGTCAAAGAATTGAAAGAGGCTTGGCCAACATGCTTGACATAACAATTCCAAAGATTTTTTTTTGTCAGAAATGGGATTGTCTAGCTGTAAATGAATTTAAACTTATTACTTGATATCTTTGCCTAAGGAAAAAAAAAAGGATACCATATCGCATATTCTGAAAAGTCAGTTATTATTGAAAAAAGAAAGGAAAAGTCTTCAAATAAGTATCATGATTTTGAAAATATCTCTCATTGTTGTAGAATTGGAACAAATTCATAGCAGACCCTCCAGTGGCTTTTCAGAGGCTGTAAATCATACCCATTTTTTCTCCCAGTCGATTGGCTGGTGTGTCTGAACCACCAGATAGGCGCCACATTTAGCCATGCAACTCTATGGAGTATGTCACTAGAATGGCCTTTGGGGGAAAATATAGCAAATTGCTATTTCATTTTACACGGTACTTGAGGAAAAATTCCAGGAAGATCTTGAAAATTGTTAAGGAGCAAAAAAAATATGGATTAAGAAGTCATTTCAAAAGTACACTCTCATAGCACTCAAAAAAGCAAACAAGAAAAGAAAATAAACAAATCTGGGATTCTGAAGTTAACATCTTCCTTTTCTAAACCCAGGTCACAGAAAAAGAATGGCCCGTATGGGGACATTTTTGTTCTTGCATGTCTACATTGACTATTGTCAGCTTACACATTAACACTGCTGTGCACTTACAGAGTGGGCTTCCCGTGAGCACAGCACATACTATGGAATAGCCATTTGCTGGCAGATTTATATAAAAGGCCATTGTTCCATGCTGGCTATGGTTCAGGTTAAAAATAAGTTAGCAATGTGATCAAAATAACTACTGAAAACCTGTTACACTGAGTTTGAATTGTACAGGGAACACACAGGTTTAGAGAAACAGTCTTACCTTCCAGGGCAAAAATTCTTTCTCCCAGAGTTTCAACAATAGTGAATAAAGCAAATTCATCAGAGACATTGAAGAAATGCTTCTCAGTGGGTTCACTTGCAATTGATTTTATTTCATCTATAAACTTCTGAGTGCTTAAATTTTCTCGGTTATAGCTGCCAAGAATCTGAAACACAGAAAAGAAATAAATGAAAGAGAGAGAGAGAAAAGAAAGGAAGGAAGGAAGGGAGGGAGGAAGGGAGGGAGGGAGGGACGGAGGGGGAGAGAGAGAGAGAGAGAGAGGAAGGAAGGAAGGAAGGAAGGAAGGACATATTTTAAATTTGAGGTGTTAAATAAGGCTTTCAAAGAAAAGAGTGTATAGTAGTTTTTATGTACTCCTACAATCTACAAGAGGAACACTGATAATACATAGATCCCCTAGAGTTAACTGTTCCATAAACACTGCAGTGGACATAAGAAAATGAAAAGGGCAATTCTTACATACGCAAAAATTTCTTCTCTTGCACTGTTGTGTAACTATCTATTAATAACTATATCTAAAAAAATTGAAAATTCAAAAGAAACATCATACTTTCAAAATGTTTCTGATAATACTCTAGCCCATGGCATCAGCATTTGTTATAACACTCAGCAAGTGAGTTTCTTCATATTAAATAGGCAGTTCTTCCTTATCATATGGGCAGAAAACTTTCTAAATGGGAAATTCAATCTCCTGTCAAAGATTTCTTTAAAGTGCTAAAAAGCAAGGATGTTACGTTAAAAATGAATAACCCAAGTCATGACATTTTCAATGCTTCATATGCATGCAAACATTGAATAATGAATAAGGAATACCAAAAAAGTGATTCCTTGAATTATATTGGTGATGAGCATGAGATGTACTACCACAGACTGCCAAAAGGACAAACAAATCTGTCTTGGAAGAAGTCTATCTAGGTTATGTTAGAAGCAGGGATGGCCACAGTTCATTTCACACATGTCAGGTATATTATCAAAAGCAGCTGGAACAGTACATCAACAGAAAACTGCCAGAAATTCAAGCAGTATTTAGAAGAAGTTGGGGCACAAGGGATATTATTACTGACAGCAGAAGTGTCTTGGCTAAAAGCTGAAAATACCAGAAAAATGTCTGTTGTTCATCAGAGAATGCCAAAATGATGTCTATGGAGTGTTTTGTTGACTGTGCAAAGGTATTTGACTGTACGGCCAACAAAGAGAAGACTAGGAATCTCAAAACTATTCAGTGTGTTCATGCAAATACCTAGACCAAATAGAGCCTTCCTCTATGGTCCATGCAGAGGAAGGAAACACTGTATGGTCTAAAATCAAGAAAAGTGCGTGTTAAGGCTTTGTTCTTTCTTCACACTTACTGACTCTGTGTGCTGAGCATACAATTGAGAATCTGGGATTTATGGGGGGGGAAAAATGTGGCATCAGGGTTGGAAGAAGACTCATCAACAACCTAAATTATATAAATGACACCATCTTGCTTGCTAAAAGCAAGGAGTATTTGAAGTGCTTGCTGCAGAAGAACAATGATAATAGCATTAAATATGGGCTACATCTCAAAAATCCTCAGCAACTGGCCAATGGACAATAGAATAGATGGAAAAAAGTTTTATTTGTCAATGATTTCATCTTACTTGCATCCACAATCAACATCTCTGGTACCAGCAGTCAAGAAATCAAAAGATACGTTGCATTGAGAAAATCTACTGTCAAGGATCTATCCAAAGTGTTAAAGGGCAATGAAATCAGTTTAACAACTAAGAATCTGATCCAAACAATCACCTTTTCAATTATTGCTGAACATCAGAAAGTTGGACAATGACTAAGAATGACCAAAGAAGAACTGATGCCTTTGAGTTGTGGTGTTGGAGAAGAGTAGTGAATACCCCACGGACTCCCAAAAGAACAGATTTCCTGGAGAAAGTGAAATTAGACTACACCTTGGAAGCAAGGATTGTGAAACTTCATTCCACATGTCTTTAGCATGTTGTTAGGAAGGACAGTCCTCGGAGACGGTCATCATGCTTGGAAAGGTGGAGAGTCAACATTAAAAAGGAAGACCTTCAATGAGATGAATTGACATAGTAACTGTACCAATGGGCTGGAGTATGTCAGACATGGTGAAGGTACTGGATAAGGCAGGCTTCAGATCCAGTGTTCACAGGATTGCTATGAGTCACAGTTGACTTTACAGACATAACAACAATGATAGCAACAAAAAATCAGAGGGGCCAGTCTCTAGAGAAAAGCCTTATTCTTGGTAAAGTAGAGAATAAGTAAGTGTTGGATTGACACAAGTGACTTAAACAATGGTCTTAAGCACAGTGGGAATAATGAAGATTATGGAGTATCAGGCAGGGGTTTGCTTTGTTGTACATAAGGTAGCTATGAACTGGAGCTTCACAACACATGATACCTAAAAACATGAACGAGAGCAATTTTGTTGAAAAAATTGTGACTGTAACCTTAGAAATCTGAATTATTCCTTCTTCACTTATTAGGGGAAAAAATTCTTAATTTAGAAGAACAGAAGAAATTCTCCTTCCATCAGGTTTAAGGCACAGACCGTGAAATAGAGAGTGAAATGATTTGCAAAGAAGGTTCAAGAGGTTCAGAAACAGAGATTAGAGTTTTCAGAGTAAAGGAAAAAATCTCTGAAAAGTTTCCAAGCTAAAGGACAACACAATTTGTCTGTCTGTAATGTGGATTCTAGATTTAAAACACTGATTTTATTATTTCAGAGTAACAAGCTCCTTTAGTTAAGAATAGGTGAGCAAAAACATTGAGTACTTAGCTTAACACTACCCTTGGTGCTTGCTTGCTGTATGTATGTATTTAGTTATTATCTCATTAATTTGCTATGAAATAGAGAGATAGACATAGTGCAAGAAAGAAGACGTATCCCTGTTTTACTGATGTTGACACTAAATCTCAGAAAATTTAAATTTTCCATCATCAAGTCAATACATTACAAAGACAGAATTTAAATAGAAGTCTTTTGGACTAAAAAATGTAGTGTCCTTCCTCCTCTTATTCGCTTCTCATTTTCAGAAAATATACCCAAGTTCTTTGTGCTTTGGAGATTATTACACATAACGAATGGTGTGTATTTAATGTCTTAGTGCTAGTATCTCTCTGTTCTGGAAGGAAGAAAGGTGAAAAAGGAAGGACTGTGGTACTGTGGGAGCCTGTGGACATGAGTAAAAACAGAGAAGACTGTATCACACTGCCACCAAAAGTAGTGTTGCAGGGGCAAAAGAGAGAAAATGGGGCCCAGAAAAGATCAGCTCTGAGTGGCATTCACATATTGAACTAAGGCATGGAATTGGGGACTTGGCTACTTGGCTTTCAAACAGAAATGATGATAACTGGTTTATACACCAGCTTAGGCACTTCCACTTATAATCTTACTTAAGGTTATTTGCTATTATCTTACATTATGCATCTCCTTGACACTTCATCACAGTAAAGGTAAGAAGCTTTGCCTTTGTTATCACAGAGGGAAGACATAACCAAACTTGGTTTCACCTTCTCCAAGACAGACTTATGTGTCTTCTTGGTGGTTTATGGTATGTTCAAGACTCTTCTCCAGCACCACAAATCAAAGGCATTGATTCTTCTTCTGTCATTCTGTCATTATACAGCTCTCTGATACATAGCAAGTAAGTGTGAAGACCATGACCTGGATCAGGTGCATTTTGGCCTCTAGGCTGATGTTGTTGCTTCTCAGTACTCTGGAGAGGTCCCAGAGTAAATTTTCCCAGTGCAATTCATGTTTTGATTTCCTGACTGCTGGTGCCAAGAGTTGTCCTGATAGGTGCCTTAAAACCCTTCTAGCCCTCCATCTGCTATTCAATTACAAAGTCACTTCTGTACTTAAGGTATCTGAGCAGTGTCCTACTCTGGATATGAATTCTGTTAGATATTGAAAACTCAGTGTAGTTAGGTTGGTTTTGACTCATAGAATGTCTCTTTTGAGTTTCTGATGAAAAAGTTTTAGGTGGAAAAGATTGTCCAGTTGTCTCCTACGAAACCACTCATGAATTTGAACAAAAAGAGATGCAATGTTTGGAGGAACACTCATCAACAACCTGCATTATGCAGGTGACACAACCCTGCTTGCTGAAAACTGAGGAGAACCTGAAGCACTTGCTGCAGAAGGTTAGGGACTATAGCTTTCAATATGGATTGAAGCTCAATATCAAGAAAACAAATATTCTCATCATTGGATCAGTTGGCAGCATCATGACAGACAGCAAAGAGATTGAAATTGTTAAGTTGCTTGGCTCCACAATCAACAATCTTTGTACCTGCAGTCATCAAATGAAAAGATGAATTGCATTGGGAAAGTCTGCTGTCAGGGACCTCTCCAGAGTACTGATGAACAACGATGTCAGTCTAGAAACTAAAGTGGGCCTGATCTAGGCCATAATCTTTGTGATTACTTGCTATGCACCAGAAAGCTGGCCAATGATTAAGGATAGAAGGAGAATTGATGCCCTTGAACTGTGGTGCTGGAGAAGAGTATTGAATATACCATGGACGTCTAGGAAAACAAAGAAGTTCATCCTAGAGAGGAAAAAACTGGGCTGCTCCTTGGATGCAAGTATTCTGAAACTTCATCTGTGTCATACTTTGATCATGTTGCAAGGAAGAAGCAGACCTTGGAGAGGGATATCATGCTTGGGAGGGTGAAGAAAGAACACAAGAAAGAAAGACCCTGGATGAGACGGATTGACTCATTGACTGGAATAATGGGGTCAGGTGTGTCAGAGACAATAAGGTTGGCTCTGGACAGAACAGAGTACAGAGCTGTTGTATATAGGGTCAGTAGCTATGAGTCTCAAGCCACTTGAGGGCATGTAATAACAAACAACAAAGCCTTTTTTTAGTGTCACAACACACTGTAGCCTATGACAAAAGAAATCCTTTCTAGTTGTCTAGTACTACTACAACAGAAGTATCACAGGTAGATGAATTTAACAAATAAATATTTATTATCTTATAAATTAAGAAGCTAGTACCAATATTCCTTCCCAAGTGTCTAGGGATTTTTAGTACAGGGTCTCAGAGTCCAAAGGACAGATTCTGCTCCTGGCTCAAGTCTCTTCTTCTCTGATCACTACTCTTTCCTTTTATCTCTTTCAAGATAAAAGGTGATGAGGTCACAATCTAAAGAAAACTCCCTTCCTTTGTTTCAGATTGGAGCTGTGTCCTGAATAAGAGGTTTGAATTTTATCATAATTTCCTTACAATGGATTACATGTAAGATCATATGATGGGGGATCATTAAATTATTACATAACTGCCAAACCACAGTATCGAAGTGACAAATAGTTATACTTATTTTGAATGGATTTAATTCAATCTGTAACAGGTCTCAAATTTCAGAATGTATTATTTAACAAGGAATGTGTTTACTATTTAATGCTTTTCCAGCTTAATTTCTCCCTTTCTTCATTCCTTACTCCCTTCTTCCTTTTCTTCCTCTTTTGTCCCTCCTTTTCTTCTTTCTTTTTATGGTTTCTCCTCCAATTCAACTACCACAAAGTTTACACACAAATGAAGACATCTGTCCTTTATAACCTTTTTGGGGGTGTATGTGTTGTTGTTATGTATTATCGAGTTGCCTGTGACTTATATAACAGCTCTGAACCCTGCTCTATCTTTAGCCAAACTTATTGTCTCTGTCACACCCACCCTCTTTACCCCAGTCACTGAGTCAATCCATCTCATCAAGGGTCTTCCTCTCTTGCACTTTCATTTCACCATCCCAAGCACAATGTCCTCTCCAAAGATTGGTCCCTCCTTGTAACATGCCTAAAGTATGTCAGACAAAGCTTCAGAATCCTTGTCTCTAATGAGCAGCCTGGTTTCACCTTTTCCAGGATGGACCTGTCACCTTCCTAAAATTATCATGATGTGTATGTATATCATTCTCAGCTTCACACATTTTTTGGTTGTTTTTGTGTTTGGTTTTTTTTTCTTTATGTATGTATGTATGTATGTATTTATTTTCTGGCAGTATACCATCATACTTTGGACATGTTGTGAGGAGAGACAGGTCCTTGGAGAAGCACATCATGCTTGGGAGGGTGGAGGGCAGGCACAGGAGCGAAAGGCCCTCTATGAGGTGGATTGATTCAGTGACTGGGGTAATTGGGATGCGAGTGTCAGAGACAGTGCGACTGGCACAGGACAGAGCGGAGTTTAGGGCTGTTGTGCATAGGGTCTCTATGAGTCGCATAACAACAACAACAACATACCATCAAATCTGATCTGACTGGCACAGGAGGAGATTACTCTTCTTGCTCCAGTGGAACATCTGGTGGATTTGAACCCTGTGCATTTGGGATTGCAGCACAACCTTCACTCGAGAATGAAAGTCATCAGTAGTACTTTACTTACAGCTATGGCAAATCGCTGAATGTTTTCATCTTCACAGTCTTGGATGACCTTATTCAGTCTGTGGTTGTCATGAGATTCTCCATCCGTCACAATGACCATGACTTTTTTAACCCCTCTTCGTGCACCTCGGGCTTCAGTGAAAGCCTCTTTTCTAAAGTAATCAGGGATAAAGAACAGGCAAATAAATTATTGCTCTAAAAATAGGTACAGTTAACAAAACACAAATACAATTATCAGTGACCCAACCTTCTCTTAAATCAACACCCACTGTCAAGATGAAAGGTATGATGATTATTATTTGTAATAGCTGGAGATTTATTCCAGATGATGGAGAGGTCATCATTCTGCTAATCATCATGTATTATTTACTTAAAATGAAAAAATATTTTTTGGACGTTTCAAAGGAAGGGTGTGACTGGTGCACACAACAGATTTAGATGAAATTAATTCTCTAAATACTCTTCCAGTCATTCTTTCTTCTGTAAACACTTCTTTACTTTTCTTGACAGGGCTCTTCTTCTGTTTTGGGCCAAAGTTTTTGCTTTGGTCCCCATTCCTTTCCACATTTACTCTGGCATTTGTAGGAGAGCTTGGAAATCCTTTGAGCTGATGTGAAGAGATGAAAGAGAAAAATATCCATATGGTTGTGAGTGGTTGAGAGTGTTAAGGATTATGTAGAAAGTAATCAGGCTTAAATAAAGAAAGGACTCTAGATAGCAGTGGTATGAGTCAGTGACCTGACAGCCAGCAGAATTCTAGAAGTCCAAGAGATTCTGAGTTTTCAGAGATTTGGTCTGATTTAGGCTTGAGGACACAGATTTATGGGTAGTGGGGGTATGGAGAGAAAGGGAAAGCCTTATAATCTAATTGCAAAGAAAGATATTTAAATTTAATTCAATGAGAATGTATAGAAAAAGATGGAGGGAAAGACAATTTTTAGCTGTTTTGCATGTTTATATTCATGAAGACACTCTCTTGCATTATTTAAATTTCTTTATCTCAACACACTTCTCTTGAATCTTGGTCAAGAAGACCAAAATATACTTATTAGTGAAATAATGAAAAGATTATATATTCTTTTTGGATTTGGATATAAAGTGAATCAAGCATGACACTTTTGCTTTGGCTATGAGGACAAAGAACTTAAGTTTGAGATATTCCAAAGAATCACTTTCCTTAAAAAAAAACCACTCTGAACAGTTTCCACAACCATATTAGTTACTTAGTAAATATACAGTAAAGATAGTCTAGTAGGTATATTGTGCACAGAGGGAAACATTTCTGGCAGTTCTGGTGGACTAAGAAAACTTTATTTGTGATTATTGTTCCTTTAAAATGTCCTGAAGCAAGTTTGAGAAGAGGTTAACAATTGTCCACTCTGTTCATTGGGTACACAGGATTTTGTTGTATTATTCTTTACACTTTTTTATTTTCCTCATTTTTTTCAAAGTAAAAGTTAATATTTTTTTTAATACATCCTGAGAGAACTGTGTATCCTGGTCCTCTCCATCCCACAAACAGATTTTGTGTTAAAGGCTTGCCTTTAAAAAACAATAGAAATGGATATCATATGAGAGTTAAATCCTATTTGTAGTTTCAGTTCCTTTGAGGATCATCCAAATGCTTCATCTTGAAGATCAAGGCCATGACTGAATGAACATTAGCAGAAGGAGATGATTAAAAGAACTTTCTGATAGAAAATCTGGTAGCTGAAACCAGGGAACCAATTGGCTGACCTCTGTAGAACATGCTTTGTGCTTCAAAAATATTCTTCATCTCATTGCTCTTATACCTACAACTCCATCATGCAATGCCCTTTCTTAGCACTAAGTGAAGACCCCTCTGAAAGTTTTATAAAACTAGAATACTTCAAGAAGGTCCTTTCTTTCTGGACAGGAAGAATCTTGACCTTGAGACTTAACCATGTAAGTCTATTAAAAGGAAAGAAAATATGGACTAGGGAAAAAGGACATAAAAATTTCATGAAATAGAAAACAATGAAAATAGAGGTTTGTGAATCTAAAAACTAAAAAATATTGTTTGCAACTGGCCCTGTTTGAGAGGAATACTGAAGCAATTGCAAACCATGCTTAAGCACCAAAAAAACCCCACCCCAAAACCAAAAAACTAATATGCAAGGAGAACACTTATTAACATTATGAGGTCAGTCATATCTGTATCATATAGGTAGACCTGTTGTGAAACATACAGGCAAAACCCATATAGAAGCATGATCTTTATAGTGGTGTTTATGTTGGAGCAAAAGCAGCCAGAATGTTGCCTCAGTGAGTTTTCCAAAATGGACATTCATTCCTAAGGGGCTGCCTTTGGAACATGTGCAGCTCCCCACAGGCTTAGAGCTTTCAAAGAACATGAATTGACTTTCGAATGTGCAGTCTCATTTAGTCAATTATTTCTTGAGGGTCTATTGAGTACACCTAGACATATACAAACTTTGCATGCAAATCAGTGGCCCTTAGGCAGGTAAATTTAAAATTACACCATCTGTGGTTATTTTCTCTTGGGTCCCATATAACTAGAACCATATGTTCTTAAATTTATGGGTCTAAAGCTAACCATGAAAATTTAAAGTTTGAGTAGCTGGCTGTGCCTCTGAAGTACCCATATTAAGTACCTCAACAGCTTGAAAACACTGATCATAGTAGGTGGGAGAAGTGAGAATTTGGATAATAAACTCTTCAAAACCAGATAAAAACCCAGAAATTGAGGACACTCAATAGAATAATTTTTAACTCAAAATATTTGTTAGATTTCCCTATGATTTTTGGTATTGCTTAAATTTTTATTCAAGATCTTCGAAACTGTCATAGGGACTAAGGAGAGTGATAAAAGGAGATAAAAGCTGAACATGAGATAAGACAAAGCACAGAAGATAGATTCTCTCTCTCTCTCAGCTATATCAATATTTTTTCCCCTGTATTATAAGAGAAGGGAGCTCAAATGACCTTAAAATGTTGTGCAGCCAACCAGCTACTCCTCAGGATAAAATGGGTAATCTTCTGTGCAATTTATAGCCTCTGAAAATCTGCAGGAGGGTCAGCTATGAGTTGATTTTAATTCAATAGCAATGTGAGAGAGATTATAAAGAAGGAAAATTATGTAGTTTCTTATGAAAAGCAACTCAACCACAGAGCAGAATATGTGCTTTCTATAACAAGGAGTTCTGGTGGCCTAATGGCAAGAAGCTGTGCTGCAATACTAAAGACAGGTAGTTTGAGCCACCAGCCACTCCTTGGGAGAAGGGGCAATCTCTTCCTATGAGATTAGCTGCCTCTGAAAACCCACTGGAGGGTCAGCTATGAGTCAATTCCAACTTAATGGTACACAACAACACCACAAGATAACAGTAGATAGGATAAAGAAAGGGTTGCCAATAAGAGAAGATTTAGATAAAATAAGTATGGAAAAAGAGACACTCTGTGAGTGATTAAACACTTCCAACCTCTTTCCATTTTTACACTGAAAATCACACTGTTCAAATATGGCATTATTTAAAAATCTGGGGAGGGTTAGCTATGAGTGGATTCCAAATTGGAAACATATAACAATAGTAACTCTTATTTGACATCCTCAGTATCCTTAACAATGTATTAGAAAATAGATAGTCATCCTAGTATATAAATATATACTAAACAGATATATGCAAATTTTTAATCTGTGTTTTTAGACTGAGACTCTTAGAATCTCAAAAAGGAAAAAAGGGTACACATCAATAGTTAGTCTTAATAAGAGCACAAAGCAATAGACTAAAGTAACTATTTTACTCAGTCTCCATGGGATTTTACTCAGATACCTGGGATAACAGGGAAAGATAAGAAGGGTGATGAGATTATAGGACAACCAAAGTGGTTCCTGTTAGTTGATCAACTGAATATGGTTTAAAGATCGTTTCAAGAAAGCACCAGGTAAATGTTTAATCAATATTTCAAAAGGCTAGACTGTGAGCAATTGTTTTTGCAGTTTTTCACATTCATATACCTTGCTGTGTCTATTCCAAGGGCTGTCATAGTCTGGAGGCCGCCTCTCTGACCTATTTTCTTAGCTGCAACAAGCACTTCTTCTGTTGATGAATACTGGTTGAGGTTGAACTCATGGGTTACATTTTTTCCATATTGTACAATTCCAACCTGAAATACCAAATCACTGAGAGTTACACAACTAATGAAGTTATTTTCTTTTGTTTAAACACGTTTCTGTTGTTGCTGATGGCCATCGAGTCGAGCACAACTCATGGAAACTCTATGGGGAAAAAAAACCCCTAATGCCTTTCTATAATTATTGTCATTTCTCCAAGTTCATAGAGTTTCCATAGGCATGTGGTTTGGGAAATGGATGCCACTCTTGCTTCCAAACCTGTTTGTTTTACAACTGGGAGCTCCACCAAACACTGATCACTTTGGGAAACGATTATGACATTTGACACTCCGATGGCGCAAGATTCAGCATCACAGCAAACCCAGATTACATCAGTACTGCAAACTGTAATGTACAAAGTAAAAGAATGTTCAAACACATAGATCAGTATAATACATTTTATATTTTTAGTTGAGTTAAAAATCTGTCTGTTCACAGATGCTTCTGCTCTGACAGCGGCAAAAATTGTCTCCTTTGCACATCTATAACCAAAAGGACAAAAAAGGAAAGTGTTGTCATTAAGCTTCTTAAACTATGTGTTTATGTGTTCAAGACTTTTTGCTGAATGACTCTGGTAGGCCGTGAGGGGGGATAAACTAGACTGGTATGTCTTCATGGAGATTTCTTCAAAAGCTAGGAAGAAGAGAGATTAAACATGTGATCATTCAAATAAATACATAGTAATTGCAAACTGTGAGAAGAGTTCTAAAGCAACATCTGTTATTATGACATATACTCTTTTGGGCCTGATTAAAAACAAGAGCTTAGAAAAGACTGACAGATATGCTGAGTGAAATGTCTTAGTCACAAAAGGACAAATATTGCATATGGCCATGGTTGTAAAAAGAAACGGACATCAGGGTTGAGGAAAGACAGAAAAGGAGGGGAGGAATGATGTATATTGCACTGAAACAGATGAGGGAGTGAACTGTTTAAAACGGATATATGAATGGGTACTCTTGTCATTACAGAAGTCCATAGTGAAGGCTGCATAGTGGAGTGAACTTGGGGAGAGGGATTGCATAACAATAAAAGAGTTTTTCTTTTCAAGGAGAAGAGTGAATTGGGGGTAACGGGGTAGGAGGGAGAAAAGTGCAACAATGGATGACTGGAAACCCTAAGTCTCTGTAAACTTTCATTAAAATTAATGTAAAAAAAGAAAAAAGAAAAGGCTGACAGATAATATTTGGGACTTGGAGTGAAAAAAATATGACACTTCAATGGACGGAAAACAAAAAGCTTTACAACTGAGCCAGTAAACATTATGATAAACAGAGAATGGGTTGAAGTTGTGAAGGATCTCCCTTTACTTAGAACTCCAATCAACACCCCTCAAAGCAGAGTCATTAAATCAAACACCATATTGCACTGAGTAGATGTGCTGCTAAGAACCTTAAAGTGCTTCAGAGTAAGGGTGTTACTTTAAAGGTTAAGGTGTGCCTGATCCAAGCCATGATATTTTCAATTGCTTCGTATGTACATAAAACTTAGACAATGAATAAAGAAGATTGAAGAAGAAGTGATTCCTTTGAATTGCAGTGTTGGTCAAGAATATTGAATACACCATGGATGGCCAAAAGAACAAACAAACCTATCTTGGAAGTTCAGCGACAGTGTTCCTGAGAGGAGATGATGGTGAGACATTGAGACATTGTCTCACAAACTTTGGGCTATCATTTTGGGAAAGGTCAGTCAGTCTCTGGAGAAAGACATTATTCTGGGAAAGCTAGAAGGTCAGTAAAAGAGAAGAAAACTCTCAATAAGACAGAAAGAGACTGTCAGATCGTTCTCTCTTAGATTGTCTGTTGTTGTGTATCATCAAGTTGGAAATGACCGAGAGCTGACCTCTGGTGAGTTTTCAGAGGCAGTTAATCACACAGGAGGAGATTGCCCATCCTCCCTCCTTAGTGTCTAGTGGGTTCAAGCTTCTGACCCTCAGTAAGCAGTCAACCAGTCATGCCACCAGGACTTTGTGAACTTACTAGAGAACATGTTTAAACAAACCTATCATATAATTAAAAATAAGGAAAGGAAACATATGATCCTGTCTTAAAGTTTCCCAGTGCAATGTGTCTCCTTATTTCTTAATTGCTGGTACCAACAGTGCTAAGTAAGATCCAATTAAGATGTAGCTGTTGACAGTTTCAATCTCCTCTCCATCCATCATGATTTGCATTGGGGCTGCATTTTCTTCTTCCATTCAAACTACTTCCTTGAATTCTAGTCAAATGTGATGGACAGTTTTCTTTTTATTACTCTTGGCACCAGCAGTCAGGAAACCAAAAGACTGATTGCACTGGGGAAGTCTACTGTCAGGGACAGTACTCTATAGAGTACTGAAGAGGAACAATATCAGTCTGGAGAATAAGATGTGCCTGATACCAGCCATAGTCTTCACAATTATTTGTTATGCATCAGTTGTTGTTATGTGCCGTCAAGTCGCTTGAGACTCAGCGACCCTATGTACAACAGCCCTAAACCCTGCTCTATCCTGTGCCAATCGCACCGTCTCCAATACACCCATCCCGATTACTTCAGTCACTGAATCAATCCACCTTATAATGGGCCTTCCCCTCCTACACTGTCCCTCTACCCTCCCAAGCATGATGTCCCTCTCCAAGGACCGGTCCCTCCTTACAACATTTCCAAAGTATGTTAGAAAGAGCCTCAGAATCTCTGCCTCCAAGGAGCCGCCCGGTTTAACCCTTTCAGGATGCATCTGTTTGTTTTCCTAAGAGTCCATGGTACTCTCAATACTCTTTTCCAGCCCCACAGCTCAAAGGCATCAATTTTCCTTCCATCCTCATTAGTCACTGTCCAACTCTTTGATGCATAACAAGTGATAGCAAAGACCATGGCTTGTATCAGATGCACCTTAGTCTCCAGAGAGACACCATTGCTCTTCAGTACTTTGGAGAGGTCCCTAACAGCAGACTTTCCCATGGCAATACATCTTTTAATTTCCTGGCTACTGGTGCTGAAAGTGTTGACTGAACAATAACTAAGGATGATTAAAGAAGGATTGATGCCTTTGAGTTGTGGTTCTGGACAAGAGTGTTGAACATATCATTGACTGCAAGGAGAATAAAGAGTTCTGTCTGGAGAGGGTGAAAACAGTTTGCTCACTGGAGGCAATGATTTTGAGGCTCTGTCTGACATACTTTGGGCACATGGCCTGGAGGGACTAGTCCTTGGAGAAGAACATCATGCTTGAAAGGTTAGAGGGACAGTACAGGAAAGGAAGACCCAGGATGAGACGAATTGACTCAGTGACTGAAAAAATGGGATTAGGTTTGTTGGAGATGGTAAGATCGGCTCAGGATAGGGCAGGATTCAGAGCTAATGTACATAGGGTTACTATGAGTCGCAAGTGACTCGCTGGCACATAGCAGTAACAACAACGGTTTAAAATTATTCTCTCCAATGACCCTTTTGATCTAGGGAAGCACTGAAACTGAGGAAAATCAAGGAGATTTAACATTGTCTATAGGAATGTTCAGTGTAAATAGAAAGAAGTGATTTTGTTTTACTTAGATAATTGTTAATGATAACATTAGGTGTCAAGATGAAGAAATACTGCTGTGGAAGTTAATTGCTTATCCATTCAGAATATTTTAAAGAATTTGTTATGTTCTGTTTCCCATTGTTTTTATTTCCTTAGTTATGAGGCTAAAGGGCTTTGAATATTTTCACTTTTATCCCTGGCATCATTTTTGTAAATTTTAGCATCTATTTGGATAATCTATTGAATATGTTTAACCTATTATTTCTTTGACTTTCTTAACTTTGTTGATACCTTCTTCTAACTCACCCACACTATCCAGTCTTATGGTTTCATCCCTAACTTTGTCATCTGGAAAAATTGCAGCATCTCAATCTCCTTTACAAGCATTCTTCTCTCTAACCATTAACTTTGACTCAATTACTTATTACATGGAATTCAACAATTCTCTGACCATATAAAAACATCCAATTAATTCACTGGTCCTACCTCCCCCTTCCTCTTACCTAGTCTAGATTCCATGGTCTATCACCATAATCATTAACTTGCAAACATTCAACTCTTTTAACCTTTTCTTTTGCATTATACTTCCTTGGCTAATCTCCAACTCTGCCTCTGTGATACCAAATGTTGTTAAACAAAAATCACATCGTTTTTAGGACAGTTTCACTTCAATTTTATGACCATGAATCACAAATAAGGCCTCATGAAGCACCGCCCAATAAGTGTACTCCCATTTTCCTAATGAGTGCACTTAGTTCTCATTTTCTCAGTTAAATAAAATTGTAGTCATTTCTCAAGAATCTCACTTATACACAAGAAAGAGTTCATTTGAAAAGAGCTAAGAAATCATGCCAACTAAGCATGTGTCATATATGTATTTAACACTTCACATTTACAACATATTTTACAGATATTATAGAATCTATAATGAACTATTGGATTTTCTGGACAAATTATTTACATAATAGGAATATAAAAAGATTTAACAAATGTGTAAGTCACAAATATAGTGATTTATACCCTACATCTTTACCATCTTATCTATTATTTATCCCTTTGTTCCTCTATCTTTATCTATGGGACTTCTGAAAGCTTATCTAATTCTTTTCTACAAACTCATTCTTTGCAAATCTCAAGATTGAAGATTTCTGTGTACATCATCATATCATCTGCATATAGCAATAGTTCAAACATTTCTTAGCCAATCTGGATGCCTTTTATTTCCTTCTCTTGTTGTATTGCCCTAGCAAGCACATCCAGTACAATATTGGATAGAAGTGGTGATAGTAGGCATCCTTGTCCATTCCCTGTTCACAAAGAAAATGCTTTTAGCCTTTCTCCATTGAGAATGATGTTGGCTCTTGGTTTTGTATATATACTTTTTCATTATATTGAGAAAATTCCCTTCTATTCCAATTTTGTTGAGTGTCTTTATCAGGAAGGAGTGTTAGATTTTTGTCAAATGCCTCTTCTGCCTCAATTGCTAAA